TGAGTTAGGAGAGTTGGTGATCTCTTGGACAAATCACCGAAGGCGCCAAGATAGGTTCATCACGAGTAGGAAGGAACAAGGAAAAACAGGAGGTTTTCCCTGTGGACCGACCCGTGACAAGATCCTATTCCCGGGCCCTCAACAAGGCGCCATCAAAACGCCTAGAGCTGTATGCCAGAGGCGTTGATACCTCTAAGGAGTATGCCTCATATGCCTTTTTCATGAGGCATGCTAGAGGCGTATGCCTCATGCGCGCCTCACATACACCTCATACGAAAAGACAGGAAAAAAAAAGAAAGAAAAAGAAAGGAAAGGAAAGGAAAGGAAAGGAAAGGAAAGGAAAGGAAAGGAAAAGAAAGGGAAGGGAAGGGGAAGAAAAAGAGGAAAAAAAGATAAAAGAAATAAAAGGGAAGGGGAGGGGAGGAAAGAAAGTTTTGGCCAAGGGCAGAGCCCCGGGGTCCTCTTCGCTGGGGGAGCTCTTGCTCACTTTACTCGCTTGCCTCCGCTTTGACAAGACTCCCCCCCCCTTTAAACTAGTATTATGCATCTTCATTCTTCTTAATATAAAATATTTATATTAAAAATAAAGAAAAAATGAGTTCCTCCTCTCTCCTCCCCCTTTGATTCTTGCATCTTTTGTCCATGTGCATTCTATAGATATGTTATTTCTTGATTGCATAAATTTCTAACCCATAAAGCATGACCACATTAAGTCATATGCACCTAAGGTATGTATCTCTGTTTGCAGTATGTAAGCAATAATTGTATGCAAAAATAAGGAATAAGACCAAGATTTTGTGATATGAAGCATGCCGTTGTTTGTTAAATGTGAAGACAAAGATGTGCCTCACACAGCAAATTTGAATGAAGGCATCACAAATCAGTGGTACCAAGAATTCATGTGGTTCATCTACTTTTCCAGGTTGTTTACTGTTTGTCTTCATTGAAGCATCATGACAGAGTACTAATAATATACTGATGAATGGGCTAGGGATTAATTCCCCAATTAAGATATCTGATTGATGAAGAGAAAGGCTACCATCAATTTCACAACTTTTCAACTTGTTTTAGAACCTAAAATTTTCCTCTAGGAAGTGTCATCTTCTTCTTCATGTTTGTTGGAACATTTGCTTCTGTTGCCATTAGGTCCATAACAAGCTATCTTCAAGATAAAAGTACAATATGTTCCCAGCAAAGATAAGTAAAATATATTTTACTTCCTGAAAGATTTTCAATTGACAAACCATTTATTTGTGTATGTACATGAGCATGCACTTTTTTTTTGGTGTGTGTGTGTGTGTATGTGGTGGGGGGGGAGGTGGATTAAGGCCTTGCTTATGACTAGAAATTTTCCATGTTATTATAAGATGTGTTAATTTGGAGTTTTCCTTTTTTATTCTAGAGCTAATTCTTTTGCACTTGATATTATCTCACCAGCTAACATTTCCATTGGATTGCCTATATGCTGATCTAGATCGCAAGGTAAATGAAGATGCCAGTGTTAAAGATCTCATTAATGCATTTTTTGTGCATTGATATCACTTTTATTGCAAATGGTAATGTGATTTTCTTGCAGGCATATGATGTATTGGGATTATATTATGGTTTTGGCAGAACATTTTTCAACCCAGCAAGCGTAACTTATTTTCCCTGAAAATAATTGCATTTTCTAGATATTTCTTTTTTTTTTCTAGTGTTTAAGATGCAATTTGCTTCTGAGTTGTTCATTAAATGGAATGTAACAGGCCAAGGTGTTTTCAAGATTTGAATCACTACAAAAAGCTGTAAAGAACTATACCATTGAAGCCACTCCAGATGATAGAAGTAGCGTCTTGCAACAGGTCTAGTCTTTTGCTTTCTTAAAAATATTTGAAAGTGTTATCTTTTATAGTTAACTTGATTGCCAGTCTTTGAGTGAGTGCAACAACCATTTCTCATTTTGTTATTCTGTCTTTTCCTCTTTAATAGGGAGGGATGTTTGTCTTCAAAGGTAATCAATTGTTATATGCAAGGAAAGATGAAGGGACAGGTGATCATGCCCCTTTGGATGAAATCCTTGATGTTTGCTGCAAAGCTACAGTTCCATGAAGCTTGACTATACTTTATTATTTAGATGTCATCAAATATATCTAGTTTGTCAAATAACACCTACTTGGTAACTATCATATCTGCAGGTTATACATATTGAACTATCTTTTTTTTTTTTTTGTTTTACATCTGATGGTATGACAATTTTTCCTTAGGTGGAAATTGATTAACTGACTACTATACTATGTAGATGGCGAGCACAAAATTTAGTTTTTCATGCACTGGCTATGATGTTTATAGAATGTTCTGAACTTCTGATTGAAGTTTTCCAAGCTTCTAAGCCTAAGAATGGAAGTTTTACCTCTATGGAGCAAAGTGATTTGCTAAACCCACAGGATTGGAATAAATTTCTCCTTAAATATCTCTGCAGTTACTTGTTCTGATTCTACCTGCATCAGCCTTCTTCTCATCTAGGTCACCCTAACTCATTTCCTTTTCTTTTCTACTTTGGGGCGTCCTTTTAGGCCCTTCCCCACCTTTTCCTTCAAACCAAACACAGCCTATTTAATGTTTTGTACTTCTTCACTCTTCAAAACGAGGTGTACTATTGTTCTGTTCCATCATTCCCATGTAGTTTTATTCGTAGGATACGGTTGGAAAAAAAAAAAAATCTCTTTGCTTTACAGAACGAAGGATTGGAAGAAACACAACCGCTAAAGCTTGAAACCATGACAAGTCAAGTTCCAAACATTGTGGAGACGCAAAAGCAGTTGTCTGCATTGACCAAATCTTGAGTCAGGGAACTCATGGTATGGAGATGGGTATTGGGCCCTATTATTTGTCACAAATGCCATCTTTTAGAGATCAGCTGTTATTGGATGGATCACGTCCTGTGGGTAATTGGGCAAGAATCAGCACCCACAACTGTGTTATTACTTGAATAAAAAAACGGTTAGTTGTAGGATCTATTTTGCCTCGCCATAAAGCAGGATTATTTTTCAGTCTGTAAAATTTGAGTTGTACTTCTGACTTTGTCTTCAGTCAAAACTTGTGTTCTGCTCCTACATGGAAATAAAAACATCATTAATACATGACAAGAGGGGCATTATATCTGGTGGGAGGGGTAGACTGGTAAGGCTGCAAATCGAATTTGATCATCCAGTAAAATCTGATTTGATTTAACTTACCTATATAATTATATACTATGATACCAGGAAGATATGATACCGTAAAAGTTTACCACCAATCAACTGGAATCATAAAAGAGGTGACAAATCAGGTGGTATTAATTAAAATTCACGGGAGTGCTTTGATCGGTCAAAGCTTTTCCGGTATCATAGATTTTCCCAAGTTTATATTGTATGATTGTATCTACTTGTAAAGTCGGTTTAAATGTTGGGATCATTATGTTCATGGACCATTTCAAAGCCATTTGTAGTTCATTTTATTAATATTATATGATATTTTGATCATTTTCAGTTTAATTTATTAACACCATTATCTGATTGCAATCCAAATTCAATTCCACTTTGATATAATAATCTGATGGATATGATTTGATTCAAATTTGAATATAAGCTAATCAAATCAGATTCAATTCGATCTGTTTGCAGCCCTATAGACTGGATAAACTTTGGAAGCAAGAAAATGCTGCTTTCCAAATACATAAAAAATAAAAAATACATTCAACATTGAACAATGGTCTTGGAAACAGCCAAACAGGAGACTCAAATGGATGTATAATGCCCAGAGTACAACAAAGGTTCTTGTTTTTTGGTGCCCCCCCCCCCAGAAAAAAAAAAAAAAGATGGTGGTTATAGGAATTGAGTCCACGTCTATATACTGGAGTTTGCATTTGTACTCTTCCTAAGCTGAGCCTGAGCAATAATACAAGAATAAAAGTTTCAATTGCAATCACTACCAAATGAATAGTGTGTGCTGTGTTCATGGTGTTAGACTGACCGGTTCAACAATTCTGATCGATTTGGTCTTGACTTGACCAGAAAATCAACTTGAGGTCAATCCTCAAATGTTCACCATAGTTTCTAAATCTTCCCGCTGTTGAAAGGTAATGAACCTATATATCTATATATCTATGACCATGCTTGGGAGTGCTTATATTAAAAATAAGTGTTTATTCTTATTTGTATTTGACATCCAACTTTTTCAAGTGCTTATTTTAAAAATAAATACTTATTTCATATTGGGTGTTTGGTAGTCTTTTTTCTCTAAAAAAACATTTGTGACTATTTTGTCCTTTATTTTCTTTCAAATTTTATAAAAGCACTTTTCTAAAAGCATTTTTATGAAGTATTTTTACAAAAGTAGTTTTATAAAATTCAACTAGGGATAATTTTGGAAGAAAAAAAATGAAAAAGTACTTATTTCAGGCTTATTTCCCAAACACCAATAAGTGTTTAATGGTGTGGTCCATGCCCAAATAAGCACTTATTTTCAAACACTCCCAATATATATATATATATAGAGAGAGAGAGAGAGAGAGAGAGAATTTTTATTTTTAAAATTGAACAAAATAATTCAAGTAGTAAATCAGCCTTTAAGTCTTTAAGACTTTTATATTAATAATACAATAAAATATTAACCTAAATAGGTTGGGGCTGAAAAATAAAAGTATTATTCTAAAAAATTATTAATTTAAAACCCACTAAACTTTCAATTAAAAATAATAACTATTAATAAAACTTGGTAAAAATTAAAAAGGCAAATTTCTTAAAGTACCCTTATAGTTTAGGAAATTGACTAACTCTATCCTTACTGTTTACATATTGTCTTAAAATACCCTCAAGTTTTTTGACAATTGACATTATCGTTAAGCACTAAGAGAACAAAATGAAATGTCAAATTTACCCTTCACTATTCCTCAAACTTTCAAAATAAAACCCAACTGGTGAAAATTTTCAAGAACTATAAGATAGTTTGGGTCCATTGAAAGGATGAAGAGGAACTACTTTCTTCTTCATTCTTGTCCTAGCCATCACTGCAAGACAAAGAGAGTTCTCCGTTGTTTATTGTGAATTCAAGTCTTTGCAACTAGATTCAAACATAAAGGCTAGGGGACGGATGAATTTGATTGCAAGCGACAAAGACCGGTTGGGTAGAGAGCAAAAAGGGTGGATGATAATGACTCTGTTTTACCATGTAGGCATGTACATCTTTTGCTTCCCTTGTAGCCTTTGCATCCATGATAACACCATTTGTCCCCTCCCCTAGTTCCGATTGCATGTTGCAGTCTAACCCCGGTGCTTGGCTTATCCTCTGCCCCCCCAGGGTCGTCTTGATCCAGAGTAGGCAAGGAGGACTTGTCTAGAACCGAACCCTTTAATCGATGGGAGAAGGGCCAATTGTAAGATTGCATTGTTGCCCTCGAATTTCCCCCACCGAGAGGTAGATTTTTCATTGTTGTCAACAATTTGTTATGATTTATTGAAATTCATTTTAATGAATAATATTAATTTTTTTGTTGTGTACATTTGTTATTAAAAATGAAAAATCATGGAGGAAGCCCCTACCATGAAATTGGAGGCAGACATTTGGTTGTACCACATTACCATGGAGCTGCAGTGTACGTCTTCTAGTATTAATAATACTGTAGGGAGAAAACAAGTTGCAGAAACACGGTCATTCTTTGTTATTAGTGGGCGTTTTAATTGGCATTTCCTATTAATAGGTGTTTTACTAAAACAGAGACGGGAAGATGGAGTCGGAGATGGAGATAGAGACAGACGAAGACAAAATCGGAGACGAACTGAGATGGAGTATAACCATAAAAATGGTATTTTAGGAAGTTTAAAAAATATATCAGTCACATGTAAACAGAATGTATTTTAACTAACCTAGACAATTGTTAAAAAACTTAAAAGGTACTTTAAGATAATATGTAAACAATAAGGTAGAGTTAGTCAGTTATCTGAACCATAAGTATACTTTAAGAAATTTGTCCAAATTAAAACACATTTATCTTATAATAGCTAATAAAAATTAAGAAATTTGGTTTCCTTAAGATGTTATTTAAAAATATTTCAATTCCACTTAAAAAATAAAATTTAAGAAATACTAATAAAAATAAGACATTTAAATACAAAAAATATATTAATGGATGGTTTTAATAATATTGTGATTTAAAATCCACTGGACATAGTAAACTTGGGTTTGATATATTGCACGTGGAGCCCATGTTCTAATGTTGTATCATGTAGGGCTATTCATAAGAAGGCCCAACCCGACCAAACCGACCAACCCGAGTCGGCCGGGTTTTCATCAGCACGGGTCGGTTTCGGATTGTGCAAATTCCTAAACCGATGATTCGGGTCGGTTTCGGTTTTCACACAAKAAAAYYGAAACYGACCCGAACCGAACYGAYTTAGTTCCTAGTTCAAACATGAAGTTCCAAAGCCCATTAGGCCACCTAGTTTTTGAATAGTTGCAAGAAACTTTGGATTAGTGAATAGTGATTAATGAACAACTTTTGTGATTAACTTTTCATTTAAATTTTATCATAGGAGATGGCTGAAATGATGTTCAATTTATGACTGTTTTTAAAATTAGCAAGATTTTATCAAAGGGATGAACTTAGAACCGAAACCGACCCAACCCAACTGAAACCGACCAGGTCGGTTTTGCTTAACACTGGGTCGGTTTCGGTTTCTATGTCAGGTAACCCGACCAGGTCGGGTCGGTTGGAAAAACCACAATAAACCGACCCAACCCAACCCGTGAACAGCCCTAGTATCATGTTTTGTTTATTCTTTTATTTTATTGATTAACTTTGTATTAATGCATTTTAAATTAATCAATAATATTATTAAAAATAATAATTTGTATGAATTGGAACCTTTACTGTGCATAATACACAAAGGACCCGTTAAAATGATATAAAAATAAAATTTGATGAAAATTTCAATTTTTATTTAGATTCTATTTAAAAAAAAAAACTTGGGTTGGACTTGGACCAACTCAACTCAAATGGGAATATCTTAAGTCTCCTTGCAATTGTTATGACCTAATTTCAAATTACCCTATGGGGTGCAATTTGTGTAGTTACAATGCAAGGGACTAGGGGTGCAATTTGAGCAAGCCCAACTTGAGCTTGAATTGACCCAACTCACATTTTTACATGGGTTGGGCTTCTATTTTTGGTCCTCGAGTTGGGTTTGGGCAAAAAACCTTGGGCTTTTCTATTTTTTCTATTAGGCTTGGCACTAGCCTCTAGGTAGCTCTAGCTCAACTTAAACCCAACTTGACCTTATATTACTCTGAGCCTAGCCCAATTATACAGAAGCAACTTTTTAGTGATTTTACCCA